AGATTATGCTAATATTCGTAATATTTGTTAAAAACATTACAAATAAAACTAATGTTTGTAATATTTAGGTTATGCTAATGTAAGTTATGCAAAAATTCGGTAAACTTAGGACTAAACCAACCTTGTAAGCAGGCCTTCCTGACGCCACCAGTGCACATCGGCGCTCCACTTCCCATCAAAAATTCGCGGAATGCATTCGATGAGCATGCGTAAAACGAAAATAAAATAAAAGAACACAGTAACCGAACTGATACCCGATAAGCTGCTCAAATTACGAAACAGTGATAAAGGCAAGATAACGAATAAAAATACCAGTACCTGAAAATAAAAATATCAAAAATGCAAAAAACAAGCACAACTTATGTGGCATCACGTGAGGGAGGAATTCATGGAAGTATCCCTAGCAATGCCTTTGGATGTAGGAACTGCCACAATTCAGCCTATGGCCAGAAATCCATAGAAAAAACGGATATTTAACTTCAAATTGCTAGCATATCACAATCTTCCTTCAAATTTTGAGATTTTGAACTTTGAGAACCTCAAATTTTGAATTCTGAGATTATGAGATAAAAGCACTCAGGACCCTTCCAAAAGCAACTACCCGCTTGCTGGATAAGATGGTATTCTAACCCCAGAGTTGCCAGAGAAGTAAGCTCGTAGCGATTTGCCGTCGTGACCTGTTAAGCTCTACAGCAACAAGTTAAAACCGAAACGAACGACTGATTCAAAATCAACAAATCTTAAAATTTACGAATCGTAAAAAAAAATTCGGGAACAACGAACATTAAAAAAAAAGGATTCGAAACCGGCAAAAAAAAACTTACGCCTGAAAACCCGGGGCCATCTTGTTTTCATTCCAGACTAGAATCAATAACTCAATCCAAAAGATAGAGGCCAGTTATGATTAAAACAAACCCGTCTACCTGAATATGCTTCAAACGATGCGAAAGCAAATTAAGATTAAAAAAAACAACAAACCATAACAAGGACACGTAATCGCTGCGTAGGTGCCTGTAGTTGCAAATAGTCAGCAAGTACATGAGGACCAATATCGCCGATAACGACCATAAACGAAACAACTGAGGACATCAAATACAAAATCATTAACAGCTGCAAAAATACATTATTAGCATTACTTATACCTTGAATACCTTGAACAGCTGTTGTTTCATGGATCTCTGATGTCACACCATCGATGCAGTTGGCAACTTCTCCATTTCGATCGATCCTGAGCCTGACGAGACCAGGTGACACCATAAAGGCGCACGATTGGATCTCGCCATCGTGTTGGTGGCCTCCCCAGTGTTCGTTTCATCGCGCGTGGATACCACTCCATTATTCGCTTCGTCCATCGGTTGGTACCTTCCATTATCCGCTTCGTCCATCGGTTGTCTGACATCCTTATTACATGATCAGCCCAACTGCTTTTTCTGACGTACATTTCTTCGATTATAATTAGCATTACTAGAATTACTATTACACTTGATTTAACACACATTTTTATTAGCATTACTATTACACTTAATTTAATACACATTTATATTTCAACCACTATTCTCAATTAATTAAAATCATAACCACTGCCGTACTGGTGAAATCCAGTTGTGATGCTGAATAGGAACGAATACGACTTAACGTACCGAGCTCTTGTTAATTTAATTAATTTTGTAATATGTTATCCAAACATATCTTTCTGCAAATGATACTTAGACCTGATCTCCTACCTTTCAATCTATTATTTCCTTTGTCAAGTATGTCTGGGCCTCGCGAAGGACCACGTGAAAGTTTTGGTGGGAAAATGGTTAGCTGTGGGACCAGAAAAGCTGCAAGGCTGAAATTTTAAGAGGATGTTCCTCGTCCGCAGAGGCTAAATTCGAAGACAGTGTTCACGGAGTGGATTGAGTAGTGTAAAGGAGATTTTCAATTAATTAAAGAATCAAACATTTTGAAAGACAATTTTAGAACTACAAAAGTAACCTCAACTAAACGCCTTCCTCCTGTACCAAATGCATGAAGCGCCAACGATTCGAGACTTCTTCGCCTGTAAAACCATAAAATTGAACACACTGTAGCTGGTCACCTAATCAAGTAGTGGATGAATATTAATACTTCTGTTAAATTTGTTAAATTCTATAGTCTTAAAGTTGCTGGAATCAAACCTAACAAATTCAGAAACGCCTCTAAAGTTTAAAAAAGGAAAGAATTTGCATCCAAAATAAAGGAAAAACAAAGTTACCAAGTAAAACAATAGTAATAAAAAACAAGTAAGAAAATGCGAGATCCCGTAACAAGTACAGTTACATGCAAAAAAAAAAAAACTCTTCGAAAATGGGTAGGAATAAAAAATAAAATTTGTAAAAAAAAATCATATTTTTTTAAAGGAAAGAAATCACTTTAAAAAAAAATGATTGTGTTTTAACATACCGCGTCATAACTGCGCCTTGGTACAATAAATGACACGTAACTTTGGTGAGCAATGAACATAGTCCAATCAAAATAGTACCAAGAAGAATACCACACTGAAAAAAAAGAAACCTTTTGCTGCAGTAACAAAAAAACCTCATTAAAGAAACTCTCCCCGCCCACACCCCCCAAAAAAAACCACAAAAAAACCTCCAAAAAAAACCTAAAAAAAAAGAAACCTTTTGCTACTTCATTGTAATTTGGGGTGGCAAAGTTTGGAAAACTACGGTGATGCTCAACACACACATTTTCTTTGCCGACAATTGAAAGGCGACCCGTATTAGTGAGTGGTATTCACAAAAAGTAAATAACCAATGTAATAACCCTCTAAGAAATAGCACGCATACACCGAACAGGCGGTTGCTGCTACACCAAAAAATTAGATTACAGGTAACATGCCATCAAAGTTCGTGTAATGGTAGCTGATCCAAGTAAACACCCAGGGTTGCTCGTATAAGCTCGAATAACGCACACTTCCCATCGGTACCCGCCCACTTATATAAGTAACGAACGTTTCTGGGTGTAGTACTTGAGCATTTGCTGTGTGTTACTTATATTGGTGGGCCATCGTCGCATCCAGTCCAAGCAAACCCGGAAATATTTCAGGTAATACAGCCCGACCATTCATGTGATGAAAGCATAGCGTGGGCGGGGCTAAAGCCTCTTATCGCGCGACAACAACCGCCCCATTGCGCTATGGGACAGTTATTTCATTGCATCCTCTCAGCTGCTGATGGACGGTAGCAGAGTGCGACTTCTGGGACGAGAGGAGAGGGACCTGTACAAGTGATGGAGAGCGGCCTATATAAGTAACGAGCTTCTCTGAAATGTGTGCATGGGGCAATCTATCATGTACAGGACATATTACCTGTAATCCGATGTTTTGGTGTAAATGGAGGTATGCAGCCCCGGAATAAACGGCATGGCATAGCCTCGCCGGGCTTATGGGAGCATCCCAGTAATAAGGATTGCCTACACATATAGGCCGAACGATTTCGGCATTTTTGTTGTTCTGAGCAACGAAATAAAAATTACAAAACTCACCTGCTGTAAGCAATAAGGCATAGCAAGGATACTGACGCCAACAATGCAATTCGTAAGGTTGAAAACATGTGGCCATTGGTTGAAGCCGGACAGAGCTCGCCAATCTTTCACATCATGATCATCCTCGTCATCG